TTCATTCTTTTGACTGTTCATTCACGCCATTCCAGTAAATTTGCCTTTCTGTTCCATTTGCATTTTTAATACACGAGTTGCTTTGAATGTTCTTTTAAGACAACCGAAACTTTCTGTGAACCATCACCCTCCATTTTATTTTGTTTGAATAACTGGCTTAAAAAGTCCTTTCTGCTAATGTAGTTGTCTTTCAGATAATGGATCTTCTTCAAAGGGAAAAAGATAACTACGATTCTATTGGCATGTCAGAAAGCGATATCAAAAAGGTTTGTCGCAGGATTTCATTTCAAAATTCAGTACGATAGCAAAACGGTTGTGTTTAGGCCATAGCAGCTACGAGTATGGATTTACTACGAAAGGATCTCCAATTTCTGGTAAATGAAGGTCACATTTATAACACAACTGATGATGAACATTATGCTTTAATCGATTAACCTTTGAGATCCTCATGTTTTCATCGCTTGTATTGTATATGATTCTCTAGCATCTGAAGTAATGAACTGACACATACGTCATATCAACTACATTCGTTCATAATGAGAACAGTATATGCCAGAGTGAGCGCAGATGAACGATTCTGCTCCTTAAGAGTATAGTTTCTTCTTTTCAACTTAACCTTTGCAGAAACTGATTGACCTTAATAGCAGGACCAGAGTTGAAAAGAGCTAAAAAATAGGTGCTTTCAGACATGAAAAAGGCAGCCAAGAGTTGGGTAAAGAGATGTAACGGTAACGAAAAAACACTCATTTCTTCCGTGAAACAGAGAATTAGACTCCGTTTTTTGAGGCGTGAAGAAGCCAATCATACCCGTTTTATTTAATGAGTTAATGACATAACAGCACTATTCAAAAGCTTGGGAAGTTTTCATCGACTGCTTGACGAACGTTTGTTTGTAAAGCGTAGAGTAGATCATTGGCAACATTTGTTTCTTCGAAAGAGCCGAATGTTTCCGCTTCTTTTAAGAAAAATGCCCATCCTCGAACATGTCGGTAATGCCTAAATCAAAGAAGAGTTTTTTGGTACATTGAAATTTCCTTTTTCTCGAGAAAGAAAATATCAGACCGCATTACCTAACTACTGCCTTCTCTGGTGGGATGAGAAACACATCAGCATTTGAGGCAAAACGCAGGACTTGGTGAACACTCATGCCCTCAACCTAAAAGAAATGATATGAGGGTATCCCGAAATGTGCGATCACTATTGAATAATTGACATCTATTGCCAATCTCTTCTAAGTCTTATTCATTCATTTGATCAAATTTTTTGAATCTAAACTTCCACTCTAAATAACGAGCTGTCTCTTTCCTATACTATACGATTGTTAAAGGTTGTAATTGGCTTGCTAGCGTAAAAATTAGGCTAACGATGGTTTTCACGCCCAAGTATGATCTTCGATAGTGTACAATTTTGTAGCAAAATTACGCAAGATCCTTAACGCAGTACTAGGCCACCGCAATCTGTATTTCTATGACCTTCGAAACTGTGAGGCCCGTTTTCAAATAATATGACGTAATCTTTAAAAAGGATAAATAAGACCCAGAAGTTTTCCGAAAATAAAAGAGTTATCAATGATAAAACAGTGATAATCACTTTTTGAGAGCACCGTTTATTGGAAGAACCAAAAGTTAAAATGTAGAAGTACTATTATTTTTACCTTCACAGGCTGTATTATGCTTTTTGTTGTATGGTTGACAGGCGCAACATGACTAGTGTTGTGCCAGATTGCCATCGGAATTTGTGAGTCTTTTTCTTTCCAAAGCTTTGGATCAGCAGGAGTCTCATTGAGTCGCAAAACCCACCGACAGCGAAATCGTAGCTCACCATAACTTTCCTTCTCTACGGATCTAAATTGTTTTAAATCATAGCAGAAGGCAATGTATTGGGAATTCTCTTACTTGTACGAATGTAGTATCTCGGGATTTTATTTTGGATGTAAATATAATTTTACCCTAAAGCAAATGAGAGTGAATGCGTCTCGGATTATGTAAGATAACAAGCGCGCGCAACAATCATAGGGGCAAGTCTTCGCGAACGTATTTTTGTAGCATATGATCATTTTGAAGTCTCTTGTAAGAGGAAAAAAAAGAAATTCTCAAGAATCTTATGAGTCTACTCCTTTATTGAAGAGGTATAGACTAATTCAGGATTTTAATGATTCTTAAACGGCCGTAACCGTTATCCGCTAAAGCTTATCAAGATGGCTGTCAGTTCTACCGAACTCAGTACGTTCGAGCGTAATCCGATTGTGGCAACAACTTAGCCTACAAAGAAGTGCTACATGCACTTTTTCATCTTCTCTCTTCATTTAGATGCCATTAGAAGGTTTAAAAAGGCGAGACGAACATCGCTTTGCAAGGTTGTGTGCCAGCTTTACTAATTTCGGAGTTTCACCAGTTTCACCAGAGTTCATGATGTCTCACCAACATCTGATCGCAACTACCATATTCGTACTCTGCTTAATATGCCACTTTTGATTCTTGTTTTTGTTTGATTCATTTTTCTATTGAGTTTTCTCAAGTTGTCGCACCAGAATATGTACTTGATTCTACTTTTGACTTTAACTAAGATTGAGGTCATTGAATAATGATACCTAAACAAAACAACATTTACACTGTTAGGAACTTATGAGCATTTAGGAACACATGCGACTTTAAAGAAACACGAAGTTTGAAGAACTTGATAGATATATTAGTTACCGCTATATGCTTCTGCTGGCTTAACATAAAAACTAAGGGAAAAAACTTCAAAAATACTCTTCTTTTCAGAGTGCGATCAGAAACGTCCAACCGTATCGATAATTCATTTATATTGATGAGCAGCTTGTTAAACTTGAACACGTAGCGGTCACTACTTCATGAAGTATTAGCT